CTTTATTATGCAAATCTTAGAGGCTAGCTAGACACAGTATGCAATTTTAGACTGTCCTAAATGTTTGTAACTTTCAGTCTTGGAGCTAATGATATATTTTATTCTGATAATGGTTTCAACCATTGTCAACACAATTTCAAGAACAGGAAGTTTATTACGTAACCAGGGCAAATTTGTGAAATTCAGCACTTTAATGCAACTGTATAAATAGAATAGACAGTAGAATGGAATGGAATAGAATAGAATATTCTTTATTGGCCAAGTGTGATTGGACACACAAGGAATTTGTCTCTGATGCATAAACTCTCAGTGTACATACAAACAACATTGTGATAAATCATAAGATATCACTAGGAGAAGGTAACAGGAAAAATGAGGATGATAGTAATACAGCCCTAATACATAGATAAATATTCTTAGGCACAAATCAGTGCTGTGGGAATTAGGTGTTTAGCAGAGTGATGGCATGGAGGTAAAAAACTTTGTGTCCAGTTGTTTTGACATGCAATGCCCTATAACAGGGGTGTCAAACTCGCATCATCATGCTGTTGTCAGACGTATTGCGACTTTCCCCCCCTTTGCTAAACTGGGCATGGGCATAGCCAGTGTGTGACAAATCCACAAAATAAAATCATGTTTAGGGTTAGGAGAATAATCCTGTTAGTGCAAGCTGATTATTAGGTAATATATAACAGTGCTAGTTTATAGATGAATTTGAACTTTCAAAAATCCATTCAGCCTAGTCTACGCATTGGTTAACACTGATGTTAGCCAATAGGTACACTTCCCTGTTTAAAAACCTGTGAGATGCTTTATTCAACAGGCAGATAAATCCATTTGAAAATCTCATTGATCTTGAACTATTCAGTGGCTAATGTGGAATTGTGATAATTTGTAGGTGGATTTGGCCACCAGAAAAATGTTTTTCAGCTGAGGCATCACACAAAGGACTGTACTGTGGGCAGAGCAGTGGAACCAAAGAATTGGTGCAAAGGAGAAATCTGGCAAGACAACAGACCTTAATCCTGAGTTAAAGGTAAATAGGATAAAAATATCTCAGCTACCAAATACTGAACATGAAAAATCTTCATTTTTTTCTCATCCTATAATTGTAGCAATATTGACCCCAGGAATTACAAGTGTGGTATAGCATTTGTTGGTATAGTTCCATCCATCCAAGAATATTTTCTACATGTTGAACTACAAGATAAACTCAAATCACTTAGGAAACCACGTGAAAATGATTTGTTTATCCATTTTCACTGAAGGTTTACTAAAGTAGGCCATCTCTGGAAGCTCAATTAATTCACAAATTGATAAAGAAAGATTTAATAGATTTAAATTTCAATTCATGAACTTTCTTGGCAAGGTTCTGGCTTAAGTTCCCACACTTTATTGGCACTATATTGTTGCTGGAGCTTTAATCTGTGATCTCCAATCCATTTAAGAAAGTGCACTTACTTTTATTGGAGTATTTTCAGTTGACTTCAGATCACCTCCTTTCACACAGTTAACAGTTTTAATAATGTCAACAGGGAAAGTAATTTCAGTGTAAATGGAGTATTTGTTGGTTCAGATGACATCTTAAATTGGTTTCTGAGGAGAGACTGAACAGTAAATTAAATTTAAAGTAGGATTAAGATTAGCCCCAAAGGTCAAAATCGCTGGATTGGATACTATTTCCTTGTTAACCTATTATGTACATACATGTTTCCCGAGTCTTTTGACAGAAATGTGTAACCTAAAGTACACATTAATAGCTAGTATAACAATTGGAGAGAGACACAAACACAATACAAGTATTCCCTAGGCAGAAAGAATAGCATTTATTAACAATTAACACAAATATAAAAATCACTATAACCCACAGATACCATTACTGTATGACATTATACGGACCAGTTACTTAACTGCTTGAATGTGGGTTAAGTCAGCAATAAAATGGATAATAAAATACTATTGCTAGCTAAAATAGCTTCCTTGTCTAATTAAAGATAAATGGAAGAAATACCAAACTACAGTTCAAGAAATGCAGAGAACATTTATCAAAATGATCAAAATGCCTATTATCTATTTTTCTCCCCTATACATTAAAAATAATAATAATAGAAAGCTGCTGAAGAATAACTCAATGAAAAGAAAGGTTATGTTCAACACTTCATGCAGATAATTTTTATTTCCCCATTCTCTTCAATGGATCTTCCCATTTTTAAAAATGTGAGCAAACAAAATTTCTCATCCTCAATATGTTTCAAAGGGGAAAAAGTACAGTCTCAGAAACTATGGTTTTCCAGATTTTGGTAAAATACAACTGTCAGGATCTCCATCATCTGCCAAGTTAATCAATGGTTGTTTAAAAAAAAGCTAATAGATTCACTATACCTGCAACAAATTAAATCGGCTTTCCACAGTCTTCCATTCTTCAGATTGTTTAAAAATTGAAACTCCTCAAATTGCCAGGTACTTCCCAGTTTAGTGCCCTCTCAGTGTCTCAGAGTGCAACTCTTAAAAAGTATAAGCTATCATGGCACAAACATTTATTGGAGATTCTGGGAGCTATAGTACCAACTCATCTCAAAAGCAGTAGGTTGGAGAAAATTGCATTAAATTCTAGCTAAAGGATTATGGAAGTTGAAAGGACAGTGGCTTATAACTGCTTCCTTCATATTAAACTATTAGGCTGGCAGCAGAATGAATGAAGAGAAGTAAGCTCCGCTGAGAAGCCATATCAGCTGTCACATGGCAGAAGTCATTATATCAGGTTCACAGCAGAGAAACTGAAGGAGACATGGCCACAATCAGCTGCAGCTTTATCACACTCCTATTTCCATCAACTATCACTTGTCACCAGCCATTTCATCAGGGAAGTTAAGTGAAACAGAGTTATCATCAACTCAGCTAAGAAGTCATCTTAATCAGATTTCAACATCCATCTTCTGTCACCTGGCCAGCAGAACAGAAGGACAATTCCTCTGTTTAAACCTTTTCCATCTCAGATAATTGTCATAAGATTGTTGTATTAAGAATGTAAGCCTGAGTGTACTCTTTGTTTTACTGTCCCAATTACCATTCCTTTTATATTCGGTCTTACATTGGGTCTTTTTAGAGTTCAAGCCTTGAGAAACAAAATTGATCTTTGTAAACTAATAATAGAAATGTTTTCTACCTTTTGTCTAACAAGGACAGAAATCCTAGATGCAAATACATATCAGACATTCCATTAGTGAAACTGAACAAAAAGATCTTAGATCAATTCATGGCTTAAGATAAATAATGATTTTTTGGCATATCCGAAGCTGTTAATGAGCTATCAGATTCTTTTAAAGATAGTTTGATAATGATTAAGATGAAAGTGGACAATTTTAAATTTCTACTGTATGTAAAGTAATAATGAACATGTGTTGCTCTGAAGTGTAACTCTTTTGAATGTAAAGAAAATTTTTTTACAATAGTTTATTAAAATTAGATCAATATTTTTTTCCATTAATGCCAGCAACAAATAAGCGTCCTTTGGTTTTCTGTGCAACCCAAGATATTTATAAATTACCTATGTGTATCATATTTAATTTATTGGTCTGCATGCTGTTTATAAATTCTGGGAATTGTAATCTCAACATATCTGGAAGCAACCAAATTCTAAATTCAACCCTAGATATTTTCTTTAGATTGAAATTCTAGCAAACACTTCTGTAAATGTCATGCTTTATAGATCAATGAACTCAATAAAAGCCATTCTTTCATTCTATGTGTATAGCATCTTCTCTATACAAAAGAATGGAACACAGAATTGTTGGAGAAAATAATGATTTTCAGAATTAATCAATAATATAATTAAAATATTATTTTTGTTTGTGCATGCTCAGCTATAAATCTTTTCAACTCCTTTTGCATTCCTTCCAGGCCAGGGGTTCCTAAATTTTTTGCCATTAAACTTCTCTTTGGTATAACCTTAATGTACACATTCCTCTAAAAATTAAATACCAAAACGAACAGAAATGAATAAGGAAAACAGTACAATGAAACTTTGCTAAAGGTGGATTTATTGTAACAATGCTTGTTACAATAAAATTATAAAAGGTTCTTTTAAAAGGTTCTTTGGGTTTCCCCTAGATTGACTTCACCACCTCAAGGCTGGTACATCTGACAATTTAGAAAACCAAGCCCTAGATTTTTAAGTGTGTACACAAATATTATTTTTGAGATTCAGAAAGATTGCAACTGATTAGAAAGTCATGACTTTGCATTAGTTACAGAACAAGAAATAATCTTGTTTTTTTTTTTCCAGATGGGTACGTTGGTATGAAAGCAAAATGCTGCTTGAAATCAATACAAAACTGAAAATGCTGCTTGAAATCAATACAAAACTGAAAAAGCCTTCTCCTACGAGTGATATTTTGGCTGCTATTTCTCCACTAGCGGATTACTTTTCCACTTTATTCCGGACAAAGAACCTTCTACAGGCGAACAGAACATTCTTATGCAAATCCACTCAAAAGGAAATCCAGCTCCTCCCCAAAGGAGTCATTCCAGTAATGACATATCACTGCAGCCAGGATAAATTCCCGATTATTAAAACCTTGAATCCCAGACCGTGGCAGAATTAGAAGATGGCAAACCGAGCTGGTGGAGAACTAAAACCGGGGAAAGCATAGTTCAGCCAATCAAAGAAGCTCTTTTCGTATTCAAGCATTCTATCGAATAGAAATCCCCAAAGACTGAAGCTGCCGTGGACCATTTTTGATAGTGGAAAAGAATTTAAGACTCAAGTCAAACTTAAGAACAGGAAGCCCACACTAAATATGGAGAGAAATGCAAAATTGGAATCACGTGCTGCGACACTCGGCAGTCCGGAGTTTTTGTAACCATAGAAATGGGAACTTTTGCAGTTAACGTAACGTGCTCCGGTGCTAAAGGCACACATGCGCAATACTACTTAGGATACGGGAAATGACTGTTGCAGAAGCTGGCAGAGTAGCTCCGCCCCCTAGCTTTATTAACTAACTTCCCGGAGCCGGGAAAGGGGTGTGGTTATACTTTTCCCCTGCCTTCGCTGTGTAAAGGGTTCCTGTGCTACCACCTGGTCATGATGCAGGGCTTGCCCGCCATCCCTGAGGAGATCAGTAACTTCCTTGCAGGTGAATGTGCCCTGAGCGGCTGGGAGGGAACTTTTGCAAACGTGGCAAGACTAGGGAGCGCTTTGGTAGAGGCAGGGTAATACGGCTACAGGAGAGTAAGGAAAGAAAAGGGAAGGTAGAAGAAATGGAGAAGTGACTTCTGGGGCGGGAGTGATTGCTTTTTGGAAGGGAAGCCGAAGATCTAAACTTGAGGATTTTGTTTTACAAGTGTAATAATAAAGAAAAGGGGGTAAGAGGGTCATCAAGAAACTTATCCTAGAGGACCAGCTGGGTGGGCTGATGCTTAACTGTTCGTTTGTTTAAATATTTGGACAAGAACTTGCCAAATACTTCCCTGACTTGGACTAGGAAAAGCTTGGCATCAGAATTCATCAGAAAATCTGCTTTTATACTCTTGCTATCTTATTCTGGGGATACATTCTTAAAGTCAGTTTGGTGTAAAGGCCAGTGAATAAGGTGCAGGGTTAGCAATCAGGAGACTTGAGGCATAAAAAACCTGGGTGACATTAGTCATCCAACCCACCTCACAAGGTGGTTGTTGTGGGAAAAACAGAAAGGCAAAGTATATTATGTTTGTTCAATGCCTTGAATTACTTATAAGATAAGGTGGAATAAAAATCTAATAAAGTTTTAATTTAAAAATAATAATTTGAATTTATTAAATGCTGATGCTATACGTATGAAGAGTTTAGCTAACATGAACTTAGAATGGTACTGTAGAAGCATCATAATATTTGGATAAGTCCATCTGGATTCCTGATTTTTTTTCTTCTTGAATCAATGTCCATACTGCAGAATTGGGGCTTTGTTTCACCCGGAAAAAAGAAAAGAGAAGCCTTTGACGGTTCCATATTTGCTTACATTTTCATAATCTTAAAATAGATTGTTCTGTGTTGTATTTCCTGTCGCACATTATACCAGACTGAAAGCCACCTAGTTTTTAAAAACACATTTCCTTTTGTCAACTATATGCTTTTAAATGAAATAAAATCCCCTTTCTATTGGTGACTCTGTTTTGTATTTATGCCAGCACTAATTTTCTATCATACATTTGGCTGAAATTATACCCATGTATAATGAAATACATTTTTCTAAAGTCAGTGGGCTCTTCCTCTAAGAAAACTTGTTTAATATTATTCAGTAAATAACTTTATTTTTGTCTGCCACTATCCATTACATTGAAATTTTATTGAAACACATATATGGGCCTGTAAACACTTTGTTTAACTATTAACTTTACTACATGAATTGGCTTAATCAAGAACCAACTACATTAAATATATGAAATAATTATGAATGGGCAGGCTTTAGTTCCTTTAAAAAAACGTGAAAAAATATTACATGCCAAATAAGTGTTGATCAATTATATCTCAGTCAACAGTTATTCTGTAGATTGAAAGATTGCTTGAGTATACTTTTAAAAAGTATTTATAGCTCTGGCAAGATATGGTTGTGTCAGCTTTTCAAGAATTCCTTCCAGGATGCCAATAGAAATAGATCTAATTTCATAAGTCTTTCATACCAGGTAAACATTAGGGTTGCATATGTTTCAAAAATTATCTTGAATAAGTGCTTTTGGATCCCAGGCAAACACTACACTGAGACATGAAGGCAGGCTGATTCTTTTCAGGCTTCTGAGCAAGCCTGAAACAAATGCTTCTGTTTCTAACAGTAACTCTTAAAGCAGTGGCACCTTATTTCCAGACATGAAGTGAAAACATCGGGCTGTTGTAATGAATAGCAGAAGAGTGTGGTGATTATGTTGGATCTAAGGCACTTATTATTATTAATCATTTTGGAAGGGTGCTGTAATGCAAACCCTTCAAGTTCAGTTCCCCCAGACTACATGGAAGTATATGTTATCCTTTTCCCAGCAACCAGAAGGAAGTGTCCTTTTTTAAGAATATTTTTGATTTTCCAGACTAGTTTACAGTCTTGGAGGCCTCCTGTTCAAGAACTAACTGGGCCTTACCCTTAGCTTTTTGAGATTAACAGAGCTAACCCAGGAACTGCTATATGTTGTGATTGGGACTTTTTAATCCTTGAATGAATCAGACTTGGATAGAGTCATACAGCAATTATTCTATTATTCATGGCCTACAAACTATAATTTTTGGTTTTGCACAGTACATCCAAAGTAACCATATTATTTTAATTTGATGTGCTAACCCACCCTATATCAAATCACAGCTTGCTTTTTTGAGACTATATGATTGCAATCTATTTGCCAGAAAATAAGTTTAATTTTGAATGTATATATGTATGTATATTATACATATACACATTCAAAATCAAACTTATTTTCTGGCATATACATATATTCAAAATTAAACTTCCAAATTAAAATGGCTTTGTATGATAGGTCTTTTGTTATTATTAAGTGTCCAGCTTTTCTCTGAGTGGGGTGTTCCATTTTCTGACTTCACACTAAGAGAATCTAAATCTATGATTCTCAATCTTGGCAATTTAAAGATGTGTGTCCTGAGCTCCCAAAAACCTCCAGCCAGCATGGACTTTGACTAAAGGACAATAGGAGCATCGTATTAAAACTATGAGCAACCTTTCTGTCTTTTCTGGGTATTGCTGTTAACTGTAGTCTTATTAATATGACTTGGAGAGAAATGAATGAATTAGTTTTAAATTGATAAAAATTAAAAACAAGCTAAAAATTCTCATGATAAATGATTGAAATAAGTCCTCACTTAAATACTTATATTGTAGGACTAATTTCTATAAGTCCTAATTGTTCCTAACAGTGGACCAGTTAGACATTTGTTTTCTCCAGATCTCTGTCCATTCTTTCCTTTCATAGTTCTCATCAGTATTGTGCTGGATATGTAATAATAGGAACGGATTGATAATGAGAAACCAAACAGAAAAAAGTTACAAAGGACTAATTTGTACTAATGAATGATATTAATTCAGAAGTTTTTAACTTTAATTTGATGAACCCTTGATATTGACCATAACTCTAATAGTGGTTTGGCTCACTCATCACTGTATGTTAAACGTTTAATGCATTAAAGTTCAACAATAAGTGCAAATCTGTTTAATCTGTGATTGTAGGGTAATCCTCAATACAATAGTTACAATCACAAAAAATAGTCAATATTTTGAAGATGCTTAATTTGTCTGGAATATTACTTCACAATACAGAATACAGAATAACAGAGTTGGAAGGGATCTTGGAGGTTTCTAGTCCAACCTCCAAGTAGTAGGAGACTCTATATCATTCTGGACAAATTTCTTCATAAAAATCTCCAGTGAGCACCCACAACTTCTGGAGACAAGCAATTCGCAGTTTACCTGTACTATTTAGACATCCTTGTCCGGATTATCTAATGCAGGAGTGTCAAACTCAATTTTATTGAGGACCACATCATGGTTGTGTTTGACCTTGGGGGAGCGTGGCCGTGGCCAGATCGATGTCACTCGTGTCAGGGGCATCTGTGGTGGCCAAGTGCTAAGCAGGACTTCCCTGAGAACCTTACTCTCATAATATTCCTCCTTCCCTCCCTCCCTCCCTCCCTCCCTTTTGTTTCCTTCCCTCTTCATTCTAATTTCTTCCTTACCCTCTTTCCTTATTTTTCCTTCTTTGCTCTCTTCCCATCTTCCCATCTTTTTCTTTGCCTTTCCTCTTTCCCTTTCTCCTTTTTTGTCCCTTCTTGCATGCTCATATGCAAAAGAGGAAACATTTCTCCTTTTATTTTGTTTTTAGTTTGTTTTGATAGCCCTCCGCCAGTGAAAATGGAGCCTGTGGGGGTGTCATTTACTGTGCCAGCCTCCTGTGGTCCCCTGCAAGCGAAAATGGTGCTCGGGGGTAGAGGCACCACGGGCTGGTCCTTTGCTGTTTTCAGCCCGGCCCATGGGCCAGATCTAAGGCCTTGAGTTTGACACCCGTGATCTAATGCAATGAACAAGTATTGTTTTAGTCAAATTTATTGATAAAACTTCTAAGATAATATTTCAGGCAACATAATGATTTACTGCTATTATTTATTTTTGCGAAACTCCAGATGCTTTTAATGAGCCCTGGCACCACCACTAGTCCTCATACATGATGACAGTATTTGATAATGCCATCATAGTTGATGTAAATGGATCTTAAATTTTTTTGGATTTTGGATCTTGTGCAAGCATAATTCTGCCATGTATGTGAAAAAGGTGCCACTGCTTTAATTAACCGAATAATCAGAGTAGCATATCTTTAATGCAACTCTAAAAAGTGGCATCTTTTTGCATGCTCAGGCAGAAGTCTTCCTGATAAATGACTTGCATGCTTTAACAAGGAGCAGAGAAATTCTGTACTGAGTTTGAAGGTCTTCTTTTGAATGATTTGTGAGGATATAGGTTGTAGAGATTTGTGCAGATGTATAAGGGTAGATAAATTATGTACCTAGTTGCTCATACACATGTGATATTCCCAAAAAATAACTGAAATGCAACAATAAAAGCTTGCCATAAGCATTCTCAGGTTCAACTTCTTCCATGCAGCTCATTCTTGCCTCTTAATTTAGAGTTACTACTTAATTTAACTTTCATGATTGTGAGTCATGAATATAGATTATCTATTTGAGCACATGAAATGTTTTAGCTGCCATGAGTATCAGTCACTCTCCTTTATTTCTCTTCACTGTGGTCCATTAATTCAATCTATCCAGGGTAGAATTTTATATTTTTTACAATGAGATCTCAGACATAAAGATCACACTTTTTATAGTGTTTCATTTTCAGTCTGAATATTACTGAAATGAATGTTCATTACAAAAGAATTTTGAATAACCAAAAAAGACATAATCATTATGAGAATATAATTTAAGCTGATTACCTTTGCAATTACTATTAAAAATATTAAAATGAGAAGAGAGACATTGAAATTAAAGAAGAGAACAGGGTTTCACTGACATTTTTAAAATAAGCTGTAGTATTACAAGAAGAGTCTTTTTCTTTTCTATGAGGTTATAGTGCCCCATATCAGGAATAAAAAGTGGGATATTATATTTTATACACTTTCTGCCCCATTGATTTCTTTTAAAATTAATATTGAGCTAGTTGTGATTCTGTTGGCTTTTATTCAATTATTCAGAGACAATTTTGAATGAAAATAATTTTTTTTGCTTAAAATACGGCATGACTCAATATCTAAGAAAAACATACTCAGTTTTTCTCAAATACGATGTCTTCCTTCCTTCCTTCCTTCCTTCCTTCCTTCCTTCCTTCCTTCCTTCCTTCCTTCCTTCCTTCCTTCCTTCCTTCCTTCCTTCCTTCCTTCCTTCCCTCCTTCCTCCCTCCCCCCCTCCCTCCCCTCCCTCCCTCCCTCCCTCCTTCCTTCCTTTCTTCCTTCCTTCCTTCCTTCCTTCCCTCCTTCCTTCCTTCCTTCCCTCCCTCCCCCCCTCCCTCCCTCCTTCCTTCCCTCCCTCCCCCCCCCCCCCCCCCCTCCCTCCCTCCCTCCCTCCTTCCTTCCTTCCTTCCTTCCTTCCTTGCTTCCTTCCTTCCTTCCTTCCTTCCTTGACATTTGAGTGCCACAAGACAGACCAGGAACATTAAGAGTCAATTTCTGCCAATGAAATAAAAGAATGAATGTTGACTCCAGGCCAATAACAGGCTTGGGTTATACCAAATTTGTCAAAAAACATAATTATTTAAAATTATGTAGAGTTTATTTCTAATTAGTTATTTGGTTCTCTGCTTTGAGAAGAAACTTACATAAAGAAGTAATTATTTTAGAATCTTTTATTTAAGCTTAGAAATTAATCTTTTTGATTATCTAGGTATCAGTGCTCCCATTTACCAATATTTTTATTTATTTATACACTAATATCTTATGATTATGCATTGCACATTTTGTACCTAACCTTTTATGTAAAACCTAATATGAGCTCTTTCTACTCAAATTCCATTGAGCTGTGACAATCACTATTCATGAAAATGTTTGAAGTGTTCTGTGCTAACTCAGATTAGGCATTAGCCCAACCATGCAGTGAATGTGGCTATGTATAACAACTAGCCTGTCTAATTTCAGCCTGCCATTAAGTGAATAATTGCCTCATTATGGGCAGAAAACCTATTCTTCAGTCAACTGAACAACTAGATTGCAATGATGCGAATTGAACTTATTATATAAGAAAAACAGTCCTGGGTGAGACCAAAAAGGTAATACAGCAAGCTATTTGTAACACGATGAGGCCTGTGCTTTTAGAGAACAAATAGGACAAACATCTCATCTTTTGTCCTTCAAAACCAGGTATTCATGATAAACATAAAACAATTTACTGATTATTTATGGCAATATGCTACTAAACTGAATATTATTTTGCATAGCAAAACACACATACACATATGAACATCTGAACCGTCTGATGCGTGACTGGGTTCTTGTATCAAAGTCATAATATGGTTTTTTGGTTTAGAATGTTGTATTGACACACCTATAAATATTGATAAACCATGGGCCCAGTATTATGTGTGAACCACCAACTGTGTATTTAACTGTACTTAACAACAGTCATAGTTTAGTGCAATATCTGAAGCCAGCTGATAGGCTCCCCGGGTTGCATTACAGAGAATTATCTTTAATGGTACATCCTTCTATTTCTATCCATTTGAATCTGACCACTGGGGTTAAATCCAGATTAAATTAATGTGTATCAAGGTAAAGTTCTTCATTAGAAGCTGTGTTCTGCTTGTGTACATGACTTTATTGCCATATTTAGTGATAGCTTTATACTGAAATTTACTAATTCTTTTTGTTTTGTCATAGATATTATGTTATTTTAGCATGCGTATTAGCAGTTCTTCTTTGTACGAAGGATTCTGTAGATAGCTTTGAGATTTACTACCATTTTTCAGGGTCCAGCTTTTTATACAAGGGCTTTAAGGATAGATAGCTTTAGCATGGAATAAGCTGGCAGTCAGTTTTGAAAATTCTGTTTTGTTAATAAAAGTGCCAAATAAAGTTTGATTCGGTGACAATTGCATATGGGTTGAAGCAGTTTATTATCTTCTAGATTTTATTCTTTGAGTATTGGGTGGGTACATATATTTTACATGTTTTGACAGTTTATAAAAACTTGTTAGGCATTTGTTCATTTAATGATAGCAAATGTCAAAACGGCATTTGCTGTGCTAAGCATAAGCAGAGCCGTGAACAAATCTATTCAATTTACAGTTTGAAATATCTTTCAATTATTTTATGCCTGGGACTGATAAAGTAACTCCATTAAATAGTTTGGCTGTTATTGCTTCTTGAAAAAACTATAATAGAGGTATTTATCATCTGAAAATTAGTATTTCTTTTTTGACTCATCTCTCTCCCTTTATTCTTTCATGATTTAGATGTTGACATATTCATATCAGATATCCTAAAAGGTGAAAATTTATCCAAAAGAGCAAAGGAAAAGAGAGATGTCCTGATTAAGAAGATGAAAGACATCAGGTCCAAGTAAGTAATTATGCTTATATAAAATACATTTAGTATACAAAAAAATATATGTTTGCAACCAATCTGTGGAATAGGCTATCCATATTATTTTTCTTTTATTAGTAGAAAACTTTGAATAAATTAATAAAGGCTCCAATATAAATTAAAGCCTTGGCTTTACTTATTTACTTTACTTTTTACTTTACTTACTTATTTATTTGGGTTTATATACCATCATATTCTCATTTAATGTTCTAAACAAAGGAGACGGGAAACTCAAGCTCCTGTCATCAGCCTGCTCTTTTCTAATAAGCGGCAGAAGAAATATATCTACAGATAATCCTTGCTGATCACATGAATAAAATACAGGTGTTTGGCAACCATCTTGTACTTAAGACCAGTTGGCAGTCCTATCACAATTTACCATTTGTGATCTTCCCTGCCAGTTTCCCACAAGCGAAGTCAATAAGGAAGCTGGCAGGGAAGGTCATAAATCTCTTGGGTTAGTCTCTATCCCCCACATTCTTTGCTTTCCTCCTTTGCTTGCATGCACTTCATCCCCCTTCATGTGCAACACAACCTTCTTCGCCTTTTTGTTGTTTCCATCGCATCATCTCCCTCCTTTTCTCTCAGTACCCTCCTTCCCCACTTTGTTTGAATGCACTGTGCCTTCCACCCACCTTCAACTGCAATATTCCCTCCTTCCACTTTTACTTACACACAGCATACCTTCTTTCTCCCTTCACTCGTATGCAACATGCCCTTCTTTTCCCTGGCTTTCCTGCATTTATGCTATTCTGCAGCATCCCCATCTCCCAATGTGCATGTAGTCTGTACTTGGCCTTCTCAAACTTCTCTTATCCCCGATGAACATTCCTGCGCTCCTTACTTCAGATTCCCACTGCTTCCCACTTAACAATCTGCACATCTTGGCGTTATGGTAGCAATGACTGTCTGGATTGCTGTCACTCAGTGCTGTGACCCCATGATATGACATTTTGTGACTATATCACTTTGTAGTGGTCATCCTAGTCCAGATTGCCATTGCTGCTTGACGGCTGCCCATACTTCTATTCATTTCAGATTTGTCACTATTTACTTTTTCATCTAAACTTGGAAAAACCCCAACATTTGCTTTCATTTGTGAGAAATAAGGGTGGCTAGTGCTTCAAACACTTAGGAATCTTTCATAGCACGTGAGGCATTGATTTATGAACAACTTTGCTTTCTACGCTGGGAAGGTTTTTTTTTCATGCAGCCTATGATACCGACTACTGGTTAATAGAGATGGGCAGATGTATGGCAAAAGCATTCAGCAAACATGTTAGAGGTCTTAATCAATGACTGCCATCTAAAATTGGGCAAGTATAAAGCAGCTATCAATATACATGAGGAGCATTGTCTATCACAACTTGAAGAACTAGTCACCCACCTAGAGAATGTTATTAGGATTCTTCTAAAGGAAACAATTGGAAGATAAAATTCAAAAGTTAAAATCATGCTCCTAAACCTGTATGATCCATGATTTATGGAACAAACAATTAAGCCAGCAGGAATTACAAATACTTGAATATGATGAGAAGTTTGACACATGTAACGCCACACCAAGATAATTCATATTAGCGTTAGAATCCATATTCAATAGAGTAGAAATACAAGAGTCAGAAAAACATGCTATCAGACAGAAAACAATGATGGTCACACACAAACCAAACAATGTGCTCAGCCAAGGGATCAGTGCACCTTGAAAGACCTGAAACAAGATCAAGACATTATTATTTTAACCAGCAGATAAAGGTCGTTTCAACTGTGATAATGAACCTTACATTTTATGAAATGAAGCATCCGCCCTGCTCAATGATTCCTCAGCATGTAAACCAACAAAGACATCAGAGGTGAGAAAGAGGATCCCACAATTGAATGCTTATCTCACCCAACTCAAATAAAACAACTGTATAACAGAAATGTTGGAAAACAGGAGGAAAAGATGCTGCCTCAGGGAGATTTAATGGACTTCCAAGATACACAAAATAGGAGTCTTCCTTAGAGCTATTGTAGAGCTATGAGATACCCAAACCTACAACTTGGCTAAATACTAGCACAGTGCTTAAGCTTCCTGACCCCACCCTCAAACAGCACGGTCACAATATCCACACAAGTTTTGGCAAAACTACAAGGCTTAAATGTGATTCCTATTTACATCCATCCCCTCCAACTTAGCACATAGAATAAAAGATAAAAAACTAGAAGAAGAATATATCACAGATAAGCAATCTAACCAGGACAAAAACCATGACGAATGAGGATGGGCTCATTCATGAGTCCAAAAGCTCGGAAAACTAAATTTCTGGTCCTGGTGGCCAACCCAGATTGGATCTTGCAACATTATCCTGGGACATATACATTTGCTTTCATTAATGTAAAGTTAATTTTTTAAATATTGTTGCTAACCATATACTTCCTGTCTCACTACTCAGAATGCTTTAAAAAGCAGATTACATTTATAAAAATTGGTGGAATGAAAAATATAGTCTTTTTCTCTTCCAATTAAACATAGATAATTGATATAATGTCTAAAAAATTCATTAAGAAATGTTTACATTCATACAAAAATGTTCAGCAGAAATCTAGTGATACAATTAATTATGAATTAGAAGCTACTGGTATGTATATACAATCTACTTGCACAAAGGAAAGACTTCATTTTTTTCTGTCCATTTTCCATATGAATATATACCATAATGAAATGTCTAGCAGGTTTCAGAAACATGGAGAGGAAACAGGTCCAGTAGAAAAGGGATATCTCAGCTGTGTGGAGATAAGCAAGTATTAGAAAAAGACCGAAACATAACTCTGCTAAGTATAGGTTGATCTGGAAAATAGGTTGAGTAGGCTTTCAAGATTCTGTTCCTTTCCCTGTTAAAATAGAGACATTTCCAGAAATTCAACAAATTCTTGTTTTCTGAGTTTTTTAACCTAGTACTTGACAGCAATAGCAGTAGCACTTTAGATACTGCTTCGTGGTGCTTTACAGCCCTCTGTAAGTGGTTTACAGCAGTGGTCACCAACCAGTGGGGTGGGAATCGCTGGTGGTCGCAAGAAAATTTTGGTGGTCCGGAGAGAATTGTCCTCCCCAAAGCACTCTTCCCCAAAGCAATTAATCCAGGATGCGTGGGAACACAAGGCTATGCCGTCCACATGGCCCGCCCACCTGCTGTCCCCCACCCTTCGGCTGAGCACAAACCTTACCTTGAGTAGAGCCATGCGTGCTGGAACTGGAAGGTAAGACCAATGGTGTGGAAGGGAAATCTGCCCTAGGGTGGCTTGCTGACATTGGTGAGAAAGTTGGTCACATATTCCAGAGCTGCAGTAATCACAAGACTGGCCCTTTGGTCATTCCGGAGCAGCTCCTTCAGTCCATGGCAGGCAGGTGCACCCAGGTGGAAGAGCAGCTGCTCCAGGATGACCAAAGGGCCAGTCCTGTGACTACTGCAATTCTGGAATATGGGACCGTCTTTCCCACCAATGTCAGCAAGCCATTGTCAGTCAAAATTCATATTAATGGTCCACAGGATTTAAAATTATGAGTTTGGTAGTCCCTGAGGTCCAAAAGGTTGGCGACCTCTGGTTTACAGAGTCAGCATATTGCTCCCAACGTCTGAGTCCTCATTTTACTGATCTCAGAAAGATGAAAGGCTGAAACAACCGTGAGCTTGTCAGAATCGAACCTCTGGCAGTGAACAGTAAGTTAACCTGCAATACAATTTCTAACCACTGTGTCACCACGGCTCTTAACAGACTAAAAGGTTCATTACATTTCTGCCACGTTGGCTTTTTTCTTATCTGCTTTGCTTGGAGTTTGCTACAGTTCTGACAGTTTGTGAATAGTTCATGGTTTTTGGAATGATGTAATGATGGCTTATATTAATGTCAGAAAGGTAACTTCAGATATTGTTAGCAAGACAGGTTTCTAAAAGTGTAGCTTATGAGTAATGTTCTGTAATTCAGTCAAGTGAATCTCATTGTCAAGAATCCCCACAATCCAGTACAAGATTGCTATCAAGACTATTTAAAGCAGGAATCTCAATTAAAGTATCTCTGACAGATAGTTGTCTGCTTTATGAATTGATGCTCAAAGCAGTCTAGGTAATTAGTTCCATTGTTGATCTATAATTGTTGGGATTGTTGAAATTTCCTAATATTTGATATCTAGTCTTGTTCTTCTTACGACCAATATTTACAGAAGCATTCGATAATCTGGAATTTTTGAAATGGTGCCTTCCTTATCAGCAATTAGCAATGCTGGAATTCTCGCTATATCCATTCTATGATAACTATTTACTTAGTTGCATAAATCTTAGCATGAACCATTATGTCTTACAAAATGACGCATTGCAAAGGAGCAAAGTAATATTTCTCTGGACTTTGTGAAATTAGATATGCTTTTGAAAGAAACTTGATGTGAGCTGAAAAGCTTTATCTATGTCTCACTATTCTTGTCAGATACGTGGTTGATCCAGGTCATAGTTGCTTACAGTATTATATCTGACTGTTGTGCTTCTTGTGGTTGTCTGGAGAAGTGACAAAATAGATAAGCAAATAGAGGTTGTTGCCATAATGGATATGATTTATCACTGATAGCTTGGCTTTTTGCCAGCAAAACTTTCTTTCCTTTCAAGAATAATGCTTATCTTGGATAATTTGCAACTACTGCTATATCATTTAATACAAATAAATTGTTTATTCTGTGCAAAGTTTTAACACCAGAGCCAGACTTGAGGAACATAACAAAATGTACCAAATGGTACTAGAATAGTTGTGTGATGTGGCTGGCTTATGGTAATGATAGAATCAGGTTCTAGCCCAGGGATGCTTAGCACAATAACAGTACAGCATCTACCCTCCGTTTTTGCTCTTCTGTCTGGGTGGTGTTTATATGGACACAGTTTGTTGTCCATTGTTGTTTATTTAATTAATTTATAACTGACTTCAGTGGAATGAGCATCTCTAGGCACATGTAATACATTAAAAAAGTAGAAAAAGTTAATACTTGCTCTTATTATAATAATAGCAGGGCAAGAACCATTGAATACCAGGAAATAATTCAGGACGATTTGGGAATCTGCATTAATAGGGGATATTATTTCCTGGTATTCAATGCAGATACACAAATTGTCCTGATACTTGGAATGATTTTAGATATCTCAATCTTAATCATATTGTGATTTTTTTTCAGAATAGCAATGTTTTTTTTCTATTTTCCACATTAATATATTAATGTTTTTAATTGAAGCTTAGGTGCAATACAGTCATTGTTTCTTCATTACAGATATGCAACTATTAACCTCATAGAAGACTTCTTCAAACCTTAGATCATATTTTTGAGGTAGCGTTGCTCAAAGTGCTTTCCAATAATTAGTTGTGGACTATCATTTTGTTAACCTAAAAAAACATGTAGAGTTCTTTACATTTACAAACACTTACCATATCCTTTTCCCCCACCCTCTCTTTTTCCTTTCCTGCAGCTACCTACAAGAATTTCCTGAAATAGGTAAGAGTTATTTCACGTGCATGTAGCTTAAATATTTTTTATTTCTACTGAGTTTCCAAACTAATCTTAAGTACATTCAATAATCTATTGAAAACTTAGACTGTGCACATATGGTATGGTTGAGTATGCTGGCTCCCCCTGCTGGAGAAAAACATGGAAAGCTCTCCATTTCCTTTTTTTTTAAATATACATTTTGCTGCTTTTATAAAATAAAAAGGCACACTAACCAACAACTAAAAATTGGAAGGGAAAAAAACTATTTCAAATGAAATCACTGGCTATTGGCATTTACATTGGCTTAGAATGTTTTTCTAACATGAATTCTAAATTTAATAAAAGTGTTTAAAATATTCTCCACTTTGCTTGTTACAGCTGTTTTGGAAAAAAATCTTCAAAGAAGTCTCTTATAACAACTGATTATTCCTCTGCTGGACAAATACAGTGGAATTCTTAAGTCATAGTATTGCCCATTTACAGACATAATAGAAGCAGGGATATTGCACTTCTATCAGTGAATTTTCCAAGACATTTTACAAATCAAATTTTGACCCAGCAAAAGAAGTATTCTACTTCTGGATGTGAATTTTAGTTTCCACTTTCAATCTGGTTCTTAATATGTTTCTTTTGTATTTTTTTGTCTATGACTGCAAGTTTAAAGAACAGACAAAATGAAAGCATCAGCATTAGATATGTTGAAAATATAAATTAGCTCTTTGGTCAAATAGTAGAAAGAATTTGTAGCAAATACAATGAATATTCTCTCCCAGAAAAGCTTGGCAACAACAGCTTGCTATCACCTTTGAAAAAATCATAGTTTTATTTTAGTAGTTTAGAGTTTCAGGACAAGAATTGAAATAATGGGAAGCTGAAATGTGGTTTGCATATTATGTTCTAATGGATTTCTTGAAACAGACCTTATAATCTCATTAAAAATAGCCTGGTACAGTGGCCTGTTTTGAAGCTGAACCTGAGATGGCCCTTATTTTCATGATGCTAATTCGTGAGGTCATGACCTGAAGCTTGTGAATGCTGGTACAAGGGTCACAGCATGAGGTCAAGAAAGCATCTGTGGAACTACAGTAGTAGTCCCCCCCTCTCCCCAAACACACACCAACTGGTAGGGCAACAGCCAGGAAGAGTAACATTTACTTTTTTCATTTTATGTCAGAGTTTATAGGCCAGCCATCAGACAGGATATTTTCAGGATAACCTACAAAGTTCAGCTCTAAAATAACAACTATGCTCTATTGTTTTTGGAACTTGTGTGTTCATTTTCAAAATTTTCAGAATTATTTCCAGGTATAGAGTGTTCCTAGAATTGGTTTGTTCACTGAATTTAGATGTAAAATAGAAAAGCTTTCTGATTTTCTAATGTAATCCAATTTGGATTTTATATTTTTCAAAGTAGTGATTAAAAAGTAAATATTAATTAGTATTTGCTTAAAGCCGTTCCACAAATTGATCCAAAATGAGGATAATTTTCATATACAAGAATCAGATTGTCTACCCAGATAGGCTAGTGAGATGCTGGTAGCAACATTTTTAAAAATAAATCTTTTTGACTGCTAAGGACCATGAGGGCATGATAACAGCATAGTGTCAAGAAAGGCAGTAGAATTAGACTTAGTGGTGTGCAAAATGGTTTGAACTCAAAACCTTTCATACCAATTTTGTTGAGAAGTATCCTGATATATGTTTCTGAACAGAAGAAAATGTTTCAAGCTTATATCGTCCTACCCTGATTTTAAAGTAAATATTTTGAGTTCAAAATGGAGATGCTTCCAGCTTGGAATGTTTCTGTTTAATGCAGTACAGATTTTGTTTTTTGTTTTTTTTTTAAATTCAGAGCATTTTTAAAGTTGGCATAATTTGAACACCTCCCACACCCTCTCACCCCTATTTGAATTCCTCTAACTTCATCCAAGTTTTAGTTAGGATTTTTTTTTTCCTCATCTTTTAGCAAACTAAAGACATCAGTTTTTCTTTATTTTCTTTATATATTTTTTAAGAACCTGTACTGCTCTTTTTGTTGCAGTGTGATCATGGGGATGGGTATTGAATTGGAAAAAGGGTAATATTACAAAGACTGTCTAGTAATGTGTGCTTAAATATCAGGTTGGCTTTCTGATGTATTGTAATACTCAAAGTGCATCAGCATAAAAGCATTCCTTCAAGCATGGATCTAACAACCTAGATCCTAAGCAGATAGTTTATTAGGGTAGACTCGTTCATAAAATCTTATACATGCATATTCTTATTGCTTCCTGTGGAAAAGCTGTTAAAGCTATGAAAGTTGGAGATGTTCCTGACCTACTAAATGGAATATATCACCTTATGTAGGGAGAGAGAGTGGATTTATTGCAGCTCATGGTTGTACTGTCATCCTGTTTCCTGGACCCATTACTCTTACCCTTAGTATGCGAGTCAAGTGCTTTGCCATTCATTTTTGTGTTTCTGTGCGTTGTTCTTTGTGTGCTTGGATTTTTTTAGACACTGGGTCTCCAGTATAGTTTTCAAGGACAACAGTCTACCTAACATATTATTTGGTGCCTACCAAGTTTCTTTCACCACCTAATTCTAATGTCCTTCCCACTTTTTTTAATAAAAAAAGAATTGGAAACTTGTATACTGCAGATTCAAGTGTGTCAAATGTGTATTTCACAAATAATCCCCAGAGCGATTTCTTGTATATAAAATGGTGGGTGGCATCTAGTTTTACTTTATTTATATTCTATTAGATAATGTTTTGTGACTGGCTACATTCTCCATGGGAACAATTTTGTGATGATGTCTCCAACACGCTGTTAAAATTTCTTTGTTAAAATCCAAGCTAGGAGATACTGAAGCTTGTCTTTTTTACCTTAGTTATTTGATACCTAAAGCTACTTGATTTTCTCTCTCTCTCTTTTTCTCTCCCCTCTCCCCTATACACACACAAACACACACACACACATTTACAAATATGCATATAGTTTTCTCTCTCTCTGTGTGTGTATGTTTGTATGTCTGTATTCTAGAAGGATGACATCTAAGCCCCACCATCTGTTACTGATTCAATGAAATTCACCAATTTCTGCCCTGTAACCATTTGGAGGCTGTTAACTTGCATTCTGCTTGTCCTTTAGTTTGCTCTAAAGATTGTCTTACTCATATGTTGTGAGTTTAGAAAAAAGTATTGTGTGTACCAATTTATTTTAACCTTATTGCTTTGTGTTGAAAAGTCTGTAAGGGGGCTTAAGTCCTTTGAAAGCAGTAAATCTAAAAGTTTTTGTAATATAGAAATGCAATTGTTAGATCTTCTGAAACTATAAAAACCCTCTACTATTAGTTTTTTTTGTAGACAATCAATAAATCATTTTGATATATTAAGAGATGAGTGGAATAAAGGTTCTTGTATTACCTAAACAGTGGGACAATGCCAAATTCTATAGCAAGAAACTTGAACAAAACTCTGACATTAAAAATATTTAGAATTTATTGAATTCAGTTATATTTATATAGAAAAATGTCAAAAACAGTATTTTGTTGGAGGTATAATAAGGATAATACTTTAAGAACATTTTATAGCATCATATACTTATTAAGTTTTGGGAGAAAATAGTGGACTATATAAACGATTATGTGACAAAAGCTAAAATTTTCAGAGGATAATATTGAACATATCTAGTATATGAAATTCAGCTTTAACACTTAAAAATTCAGCAAATGACATAAATGAATGTTTCAGATGATTTTATCCTTGATATCTTCAAACCCAAGTGTAATCATTGGTGTTTTAAATTTGTATGGGTAAAGTTGTATGAACTCTTAATCATAACTTCAACATTCTTAACTTGGTGCCCCTGTATGATTGGGGTTACAAGTCCCAGAATTTCTGCCTGTATCTTCTCTTTGAACCAGTGTTTTCTAATCTTAGCAACTTTAAGATATGTGGACTTAAGCTCAGAGAAGTTAGAGTCCATATATCCTAAAGTTGCTCAGTGTGAGAAACATTTCTCTAAACTGTTGGCAGAGTATCTATCTAAAACTCAACGTCATGCCCTTTAACTGAGTGAAACAATGCATCATTGGGCAACAATTTTTGAACCAAGGCACTGCAAATAGACTAACTTACAGAATGTGTTCAAAATCCAGGATTCATGATCTCCAAGGGAATGAAATTTGGGGAAATTGTGGCTGCTTCAGTGCTATTTGCTGCTGCTGCAGTCACATAATCTTTATTTATAATGTTCTGTGACAGTTCCCAGGATATTTTGCAATCTCTTGCTCCCTCCCCCGCCCAGCATTAGCCACTTACCTGTCTGCTGGAAAGGGAAGGGGCAAGGAAGAAAGGAAGGAAGGAGGGAGGAGCAGGAGGGAAGGAATTCCTGTGCACCCTACTGGCCCATGTCATCCTGCACACTCCCCTGATCTATGCTGCACTCCAGTGACCCATGTTGAATGTCTATCCCAACCATGCTGAACCTTCTGTGCACCTCCCTGACTGATATAATCCATTGCATACCTTTCCTGAAGTGTGTGGAACTCCTTGCATGATGCCTGTATGAACTCTTCCTGAGCCAGGCCACACCCTGTATGTCTTTCCTGACCTGCATGGCATCCCCATACACCATTTCCAATCTGTGCTCCTCATGTGTGCTTTATCCATGTAGCCCCTTGGGAATCCCCACACCTTTCTGCTCCATCTTGTGCCTCCACAAACTGTCCATGATTTTCACAGCACCTCTTGCATACCCCAAGCACATCCTTCCTGTCCCACATTCCGTTCACACATAATCTCCAACCAGCACTGCACTTCTCACATATCCTTGTAACCCCATGCATTCTTTTTGACCCGCATTATCCCATGATGCCTTATTTGATCCACACAGTTTCTCTTACCCATTAACACCCATGCATCCTTGTTGACCTACACTACCTGCTGTGTACACGATGTACACCATTTCTAATGTACACGCATGTACCCTACTCAGCTCACACTACCCACTCAGACATTTTCC